ACAAAACTTCATTAGGAAATTAGCCTTTGATTAGTGAATATCTGTTTGTTTTTCTACTACTGTTGCTTTTTATTATTTTATAGTTTTGCCATGTTGTTAAAGTTAGGCCTTTATGGCTTCCCCACCACCCTTTGTCCTTCTTGTAGTTACCTGCTTCTTGAGATATGTCAGATTATGTTTACTGTTTAGTATATTTGGCAGTAAGAATCACTTTGTCATTAGGTGTTTACGATCTAGAACCTTACTATTTGTTACATCTTCCTATTAAATAATGAGGATCATTCATGGCATCAGAAATAAAACTCCTGGACAAGTTCAGTATAATTTGATGGTAAAAATTAAAGGTGGTAAAATCACATATAGAGATCTTAGTTTGTAATGACAGGGCTGCATGCTCCTGGCAAGAAAGCATTATGTGCTGGATGTATTTTATTCTTGTTTTACTTTTCTGCTCATTATTTGTGTATTTTCTGTCTGTTTAAACTCACTGATAATTTGGTGGGGGGGGGGGCGGGGGGGAATATTACCAGTACAAAAAATCTCTTTGTATATAGTTTTCATGATGCAGATAGCTCTGTGGCCTGTGTGTTAGTCATTTAGTACCATACTTTTATTGTTCAAGAATCAGCTTATCAACATATTACAAGTTAACTAAAGGATTCTTTTTTTTTAAATTTTTTTAATATTTGTTTATTTTTGGGTGAGAGCAAGAGTGCAAGAGGGGGAGGAGCAGAGAGAGAGGGAAGGCAGAATCAGAAACAGGCTCTAGGCTCTGAGCTGTCAGCACAGAGCCTGACTCATGAGCTGTAAGATCATGACCTGAGCCAAAGTCGGATACTTAACCAACTGAGCCACCCAGGCGCCCCAACCAAAGGATTTTTTTCAAGTAATTTTGAATTTAAAGTCCCAACAGTGTAATTTTCACTTCCATTTTTAGCTCATTATTTCAAATAATGTTAAATGTTAATAATGTAATAACCAAGCATTTAACAATTATATTACATATCAGAGAGGATGTTAGAAATCATCTTATCCAATCTCCAGTGCCATGTTACCTTCTACTGTGTTCCTAACAATAGTTCAATCTGCTGAGCCATTCAGTTCATTGTTGTGTAAGACACAAACATACCTTTTTTTATATGGCATGCCTTCAAACATTAGCAGACTGTTCATTGTATTGACTAATTATTAGGCTAAGCATACCAAATGTTCTCTTTATTTCATTATGTAGTGTGCTGGATACCCTTATGAATTTCTGTATTTTTTTAGTATTTCCTCTCAATGACATCCAGAGTAGGATACTACCTGGGTGGTATGGTTATACGGTATACTCTGTCTTCACTTACATTGTATACTAGGTGAGGCTCGGGTATATATACATTTGAGCATTGTGTACAGTATATATAGACTTAACTATCACAGTAATTGTAGATGTGGTATTTCAGTTAATTAAGATTTGTTTTTGCAATTAGAATGACAGTTGTGAATGTTTTTTTCTTCTTGACCCAGTCTCATATATGACTAACTGAAGTTGTCATGTGTTCTCGAGGATAATTTAAATGAACATGGGGTTTGTGAAAACCTGACAGATCTTAACTGTAACTCAGCTAGTGGGCAACATTATAATTTATTTATAGCTGTGTAATACAGCTATTAATGAGCTAATGTAGAATGAGGGCAAATCGTATTATATTTTTGTATGAAATTATACTGCATGACAAAGGTTGGTATTATGTAATAAGTGCCCACAAAGTATTAACCTACTTGCAATAAATACAATTAATAATGTACATAAAAGAATGAAATTAAGCTAATTTTATAAAAAATTATTCATGAACAGAAAGTGGACAGCATAGATTTGATGACAGGAAGGTTGTATCTAATCTGAATTACTGAGTGACCTAGGAAGCTTGCTCAGAGGGATTACAGAATAATTATGTTAATATGCAATTATCACCTCATTTCTTCTGTAGTAACCTCAAGATGTAGTGTAGTGAGGGTGTTATAGCAAGTGCTGATAGTTTGCAAAAATACTGATGTTTGAAGTTTCTAAGACAATAAGTCTAGCTTCAGGCATAAAAGTGATGATCTGTCATCTTGAAGACAGATCTGACCTTTGTACTATTTTTTTTAATGCTCACAGTATATAACTACAGGCAGTTATAGCTGTAGAACTCATTATGATTTTCTAGAAACCGAAATATGTTTTATGTAGATTTAAAGTTCCATTTGCAGCTTTTTATAAAGTGTGTGAATTTTTTTAAAGAACATTTTAAAATTCATTTAAAAGAAAATGTCTGTGGTTATATGATTACATGGAGAAGGACATAGTAATAGCATCTAAGTGTTTTATTAAAATATCCTAATTGATAACAGCAAATTCACTGAAATTTGAGGATTCCAAAAAATATGAGTTTATTTTATTAGCTTCCCTTTTTTGAACTTTATGAATAATGTCTACCTTCCAATATGTTCTCTGCTTAGTTATATTAACATAAACTGGTGTCTGATGGCTCTGTTACATATATTTGGCTACATAGAGATAGTTGGAAAAACTTTGAAACAGTGTGAAAGCATTATTGGTCAAATGCTTTCTTGCCTAGATGCCACATAACCATCTGTGAATGTAGGGAAATAAATTTTGTTGTCAAAATTCTAGATCCATTATTCACTGTAACAGATTTTGATGATTTTGATGATTCGGCATTCTGCATTATATCTCAGCGCAACAGCTGAGTTTGGAATACTGTTAAGAAAAAAATGTATTTTGAACATGTTTTGGTTGAGAGATGTTCAGAAAATTAAACCAGGACAAATTTTTTATTGTTACTAAAATACTAGCTTACTGAGACAGTTTCTTGTAGCATATTTTTAAACTGATGGACATTTAGTATCAATGTGCTAATAAGAAATCTTCTGAAAAAAGAACAACCTCTCTTTTTGAGTAGAGCTATCATTAATTTGGGGACAAGTTAGGCATATTTCATTAGGTGTGAAGGACAACTTTGTTAAAGACTTCATTTTATATTTTAACAATATTTAATTTGATCTTCTGTTTTTTTTCCTTCCGCTAGATGTGTTTATAGATATAGAGGATATGTTGCATACATATATTTTGTCTGTGTTTTTGAGCAAAACAGTTTGGTATCTTTAGAATGTGAACTTATGGAAGGCTCATATAAGGCCATTCTGGTAATGAGAATGCAGTCTCCAAGCAGACATGATATTCTCATAGTTTGTCACCCTGCTGTTCAGGGGGTACCAATGAAGTTGCTTTAAATGGGAAGCGTCTGTTCCATCTCTGAACCTCTAACACCAGAACAGATGGGTGGAACATGGAACATAGAAGGTTTTACCTCTGAGGTGGTAACAGTGAAGCCACTCATTAACACTGAATTTACCACTTCGTTAGCAACATTGCTTCCTGTTGAGAAAAGCTAATATAGGCTTTCAAATTGACTGAGCATATATTTGTCTACCCCTGTGATTATAATAAGTAGGAACTCTTAAGCGTCTTTCAGGCCAGTTGTCGAAAAATTCTGTTGTCCATGTCAGATTTATGAGATTATGAGATTGTTCCTATTTGGACATTTTACTTTTTTTTTGTAATTAGAAATGTCAGGAATGAGTAATAGTACAGCATCAAGGTTTGCTTTTCTTTTCATTGACATTTGCACACTCTTCCCTAACACATGTTTATGTGCTGCCCATTTTTAACTTCTGTGTATGTGATGTAGAGACTCCTGCTGGGTGCTGCATTAGCACCATTTTGGGGTGATATCATTGAATGTGATCTTATTGGAAGTCTATTTTTATTACTGTGGACATTTGCCAATCTCAAAACAATTCTGAGACCTATAGGGACAGAAAAATTGTTGGTATACATAATAGTGCCAAAGAAAATATTTTTGTGGTATTATTTATAATATTTGTTGTATTAAAGAACACATCTTGTGGAAAGAGTAAGCTTGTATTTACAAGCACTTGTTCTAAGTTGTGAAATACTAAAGTAATTAGAAATAATTCTTTTATTCTTTAACTAGATATAATGTTTTACAGAACATATAATTGGTACCATAAAAGATATTAGAAATAATGAACTATATTGAAAATGCTTTGATTTCTAAATACCAGATTGTTACGTTCATTTTGTCTTAAAATAGTATTGTTATTCAAATTAAAGTACTATGGAGGAAAAGAAGAGAGCAGACACTTAGTGTGTCTTGTTTACTACCGGTTTTCCTAATAATTGAGCAGTTCCTGGCACATGTAAGGACTCAGTAAATATTTGGAGAATGAATAAATTTAGAATGTACTTACTACCAAATACAAAAGGAAAAGAATTAATGGAATTTTATGCTGGTATTTCAGATAGTTCATACCTAGGGTTGCCAAATAGCAGATTCTTTAAATTGTATTTGAGGATTATTGGATATTTTGAAGGCCTTGCTATGATTGCTGAGTCAAGAAGTCAGAACTATGATGCAATTTGCATTATTAGAATAGGGGATCTAAGTTTCATGGGAAGAAAACTTTCCTCTTACACACTTTCAATTTGATTTTACAGTTGTGTTTTTATTCACTCAGCATGTTAGTCCTTTATTCACCAAATATTGCCTGAGCACCTATGCCAAGCACTGTGCTAGGTTCCAAAGATATGAGGGTGGCTAGGTACAGTCCCTGCCCGCAGAGAGTTTACATTCTTCCAAGGAGACAGGCAATTCATATGCCCATTTCTAATGTTGCTGTTCTCTAGGTGCTTTGTATATGTTCAATATTAGTTGTTGTTGCTTACCACAAAGAAAAAAATTAACCTAACCTTTCAGATACTTTTAAATTCTTTCAAATTTTTAAAGTGTTTCTTCATTTTTAGAAAATTATTAGGACCTCCATATGAAAAATGGAATTATGCAAATAAAACTGTGTACTTTGAACTCTCCATACATTCTAATAGAATTTTTTTTCATGCAAATCTAAATTTTTTTTCTTCCATTTTCTAGACTAAATGTGTTAAATGGGCTTGCCAACAATATGGATGATTTGAAGATAAACACCGATGTTACTGGTGCTAAAGAAGAACTCCTAGATAACAACAGTTTTATCTCAGACAAAGAGAGCGGAGTTCATAAACCAAAAGATTGTCAAACATCATTTCAGAAAAATAATACGCTCACTCTGCCTGAAGAACTGTCAAAGGACAAATCTGAAAAAGCCTTAAGTGGAGGCCAGTCTACTCTATTTATACATGCTGGTGCTCCTACTGTTTCTAGTGAAAACTTTATCTTGCCTAAAGGAGCTGCTGTTAATGGACCAGTTTCACACTCCTCCTTAGCTAAGACTTCCAGTATGAATAAAGGCAGTGTTTCATTAACCACTGGACAACCTGTGGATCAGCCAACAACAGAATCTTGTTCAACTTTGAAGGTGGCACCTGATCTTCAGCTATCTACACCACAGAAAGCAAATCAACACCAAGTTTTATTTTTGTTATCAGATGTAGCACATGCTAAGAATCCAACCCATTCCATTAAAAAACTACCTACCTCTGCTTCCGTTGGTTGTGACATTCAGAATTCAGTAGGGAGTAGTATAAAGTCAGATAGCACTTTAATAAATCAAGTAGAGGTGGGTGAGGATAGTGATGATTTATTGGTAAAAGATGATTGTGTCGATACATTAACAGGAATTTCCTCAGGTACAGATGAATTTAGGTCAGAAAATGATACAAACTGGGATCCCCAAAAAGAATTCATTCAGTTTCTTATGACTAATGAAGACACAGTGGATAAAGCTCCAGTTCACTCTAAAGTAGGTCTAGAAAAAAAGAGAAAGCGAAAAATGGATGTAAGCAAGATAACTCGTTATACTGAGGATTGCTTTAGTGATTCGAATTGTATACCCAATAAATCAAAAATGCTAGAAGTAGACTTTCTGGAACAGAATGAAGAACTACAAGCAATAGACTCACAGAAATATGCATTATCAAAAGTAAAGCCCGAGTCAACTGATGAAGACTTGGAATCTGTGGATGCTTTTCAGCATCTAATTTATAACCCAGATAAGTGTGGAGAAGACAGTTCACCCGTTCATACTAGCACTTTTCTTTCCAATACCTTAAAAAAGAAATGTGAAGAAAGTGATTCTGAGTCACCTGCTACTTTCAGCACCGAAGAGCCATCCTTCTACCCCTGTACAAAGTGCAATGTGAATTTTAGGGAGAAGAAGCACCTCCACAGGCATATGATGTATCATTTAGATGGGAATAGCCACTTTCGCCATCTTAATGTCCCAAGGCCATATGCTTGTAGAGAATGTGGACGGACATTTCGAGATCGTAACTCACTTCTAAAGCATATGATTATTCACCAAGAAAGAAGACAGAAGTTGATGGAGGAAATTCGTGAATTAAAAGAACTTCAGGATGAAGGAAGAAGTGCACGATTACAGTGCCCTCAGTGTGTGTTTGGTACCAATTGCCCTAAAACATTTGTGCAGCATGCTAAAACCCATGAAAAAGATAAAAGGTACTACTGCTGTGAAGAGTGTAACTTCATGGCAGTGACAGAAAATGAATTAGAATGCCATCGAGGCATTGCCCATGGAGCAGTGGTAAAATGCCCTATTGTCAGTTCTGATATAGCCCAGAGAAAAACGCAAAAAAAGACTTTCATGAAAGACTCTGTTATAGGATCATCCAAAAAATCAGCTACCTACATATGTAAGATGTGTCCTTTTACTACTTCAGCCAGAAGTATTTTAAAAAAACACGTAGAGTACTTGCATTCGTCATCATGCATTGATTCATACGGTAGTCCTCTTGGACTTGATAAAAGAAAAAGTGACATTCTTGAAGAACCTGTAGATATTGATAGCACTAAACCATTAATTAAACAACAGTCAGCCACATTTCCAAAGAACTCTGCTTTAAAACAAGATGTAAAGCGAACATTTGGATCATCCTCACAATCAAGTAATTTTTCCAAATTCCATAAGCGGCCACACAGAGTACAAAAAGCTCGGAAAAGCATTGCCCAGTCAGGTGTAAATGTGTGCAATCAAAACAATTCTCACAAGACTGTTATGATTAAAAGCAGCACTGACCAAAAACCTAAGTATTTCCATCAAGCAGCAAAAGAAAAATCTAATGCCAAGGCAAATAGCAACTATTTATATAGACACAAATATGAAAACTACAGAATGATCAAAAAATCAGGTGAATCATATCCTCTACATTTCAAAAAAGAAGAGGCCAGTTCATTAAATTCTTTACATCTGTTCTCGTCATCAAGTAATTCTCACAACAATAGTTTTATTTCAGACCCTCAAAACTCTGACACGAAAAGGCCAGAAAGCTTCAGAGAACACAGGCGTGTAGCTGTAAAGAGAGTAGTTAAGGAATCCAAGAAGGAAAGTTCTGTTGGAGGAGAAGACTTGGATAGCTATCCAGATTTCTTGCATAAAATGACTGTTGTTGTTTTGCAGAAACTTAATTCTGCTGAAAAGAAAGATAGCTATGAAACAGAAGATGAAAGTTCCTGGGATAATGTTGAGCTAAGCGACTACACTACACAGGCCATAGAAGATGAAACCTATAATGATATTAATCAAGAACATGTAAACTTATTCCCACTTTTTAAAAGCAAGGTAGAAGGTCAAGAGCCTGAAGAAAATGCTACCCTTAGTTATGATCAAAATGATGGCTTTTATTTTGAATATTATGAAGATGCTGGAACTAATAACTTTTTGCATGAGATACATGATCCTCAGCATTTAGAAAATGCAGAAACTTCATTGTCAAAGCATAGTTCTGTTTTTCACTGGACTGATCTGTCTCTTGAGAAGAAATCATGTCCTTACTGCCCAGCAACATTTGAAACAGGTGTTGGGTTATCAAATCATGTTCGAGGACATCTTCACAGAGCTGGATTAAGCTATGAAGCCCGTCATGTCGTATCACCAGAACAAATAGCCACAAGCGACAAAATGCAACATTTCAAAAGAACTGGCACAGGGACACCTGTTAAGCGAGTTAGAAAAGGTAAGTTTCCACATAGATAATTTGGGCTATTATGTCTATATTCAGATTCAAAGAATTTGAAGGTTTTATTCAAATTTGGTCTTTATCAGAATCACATCATTTTATTTTTCAGAGTTAATTGGCTTTTAGATGATCACTTTATAAAAAATTCTGATGTCACTCTTAAAAAATTTTTGTTTTAGCTATAGAGAAGTCTGAAACCACTTCTGAACACACTTGTCAGCTCTGTGGTGGTTGGTTTGATACTAAAATTGGATTATCGAATCATGTTAGAGGCCATCTGAAAAGACTTGGAAAGACTAAATGGGATGCTCACAAATCTCCTATCTGTGTTTTGAATGAAATGATGCAAAATGAAGAAAAATATGAAAAAATCTTAAAAGCATTGAACAGTCGCCGTATTATTCCCAGACCATTTGTAGCTCAAAAACTTGCATCAAGTGATGACTTTCTGTCTCATAATGTTATACCTCTTGAAGCATACCGTAATGGCCTAAAGACTGAAGCTTTATCAGTGTCTGCATCAGAAGAAGAGGGGCTGAGTTTCTTAAATGAATATGATGAAACAAAACCAGAGCTGCCCAGTGGAAAAAAGAATCAGTCTCTTACACTGATAGAACTGCTTAAAAATAAAAGGATGGGAGAAGAAAGGAATTCTGCTATTTCTCCTCAAAAAATTCATAATCAAACTGCAAGAAAGAGATTTGTTCAGAAGTGTGTTCTTCCACTAAGTGAAGATAGTCCGTTGATGTATCAGCCACAAAGAATGGACTTAACTATGCACTCAGGTAAGAGGATGTTTATGACTGTTTTATATAATTTAAACACAGTTTAATTATGCTTACTTTTATGGAATATCTGTAGAAAATACTTCTTAGAATCTTTTTACTTAAGCTGCTTTTTTTGCAGAGCAGAGATTGGTTATACTGTCATTTCTATATAAATCATCAGTTGATGCTCATCAGCACTGAATTCTTTGTGCCTCATTTCTTGGTCAGAATGTAAGGTGAGAATAAAAACACACCAACAAACAAAAAGCTGATCTGTAAAAATAAAATTTGCTGTGACTGGGGAATGGTCCTATGGATGGGAGGTTGACCTTGTTCAAAAGCGTAGCATGACTGGAATGACAAACCTGTTCTTTATTTGCCAGTGCTCCAAGGTTGGTAATGTTTTCAAGATTTAGCTCTTGGTTTTCCTTCTGCTTAGGTCAAACAAACAAACAAAAATAGACTCTTTAAACTGAATGGATTGGTGTCTCTTGTGTGTTGTGATTAACCCAAAGAAACTTCTCCCTCGCCAGTTCCTCACTGTATTGTGGGATAGTTTAATTTTGGAGAATTGTTGTGAGTATAAAATATTTGTTTGGGTTTGTAGATTTTACAGTGGTGGTCTAATGGAACAGAACAGATGTTTAGGTTAGTGCTTGTGCATCAGTAGTTTTTCCTTTTCAAAAGAATAGTTTGTATTGGCAAATGATGTAGCAGATAAAATAGCTAAACTATATTTGTTATTGCTAAGTCTGGTTTATACTTTTAGATTAGAAAAAAAAAGTGTCTTGTAGGTTTCTTTTGGAGGTTAAGAATGTTGAAAATTAATTAACTTTGATGGTCTCGTAATTTTAGCCCCAAGTTGAATGTGTCTGAGGTAAAAGTAACTGGTCAATGGGTTTATAATGAATAAAATTACTGTAATGTTGATTTGTTTACTTTGGACTGAATTGGGACAGCCCAGATATTTGCAGTTTTGACTTAAGGAAAGATTACCTTGTGTTGTAAGTGGTCTGAAGAATGGTCTTGTATGAGCTTCTGGTTAATACGGTTCTTTCTTTTATACGAAGACAGTCTTTCAAAATCAAATTTTCAACATTTTTCAGCAGAAGAATACGTAAGAAGGGTGTGTCAGCTGTGTTGATTGAGGTGTAGTACACTTGAGAGATGGAAGACGTATTTGTGGCTATCACAGTTAATGTTGAAGATAAAACTGAAATGAGTTGGGGGAGTGTCTTAGAAGTCAGGAGTTTCTTATTGTTTTCAACATGTTTTCTTTCCTGTGATGATTAAGATGTTAGCTTGTTGATCATTTATTTAGCACAAAGATTTTAGCAAAAAACTTCAAATCATTAACTTTCATTATTGATTGCGCGTTCAGAGTAATGAACATAAAATGCCCTGAATAAAATGTTGTGTCTAACAGCTGCTCAGTGGTGTGTTTTACCACTTTTCTCCCAGCCTTCATCAGAAAGCCTAATTTAGTATTGAGCCTTTTACGGTTTTGTGGGTAAAACACTTTAATTACCACTTTGTCAACAAGACTTTTTAATTCTTTTTATTGGTAAGTTGTAAGCTTTGAAACTTCTCAACTGAACAGTGCTCTTCAAATCACAGGATTGTATTGTAGGTTTAGGAAATGATCTGCGTAACACAGAAATCTGCAAGAAAGTGATAATAGGTGTTAAATTCAGAGGAGCTCAGAGGTTCAAGGCACTCCTCTTCCACCTTTCCAAAGAGCATGGGTTGGCTCTAAATACTAACTACAAACTAATAACAATTAACTTAATCCCCCTCCTTATTTTAAGTTAAGCTAATTCAATGAACGTTTTTTAAACCATCTCTATTGTGGTACTTTTCTTCACGCTTTTAGCTAAGAAAATTTCACTTTTTGAAGTGAGAACTGGATTATAGTTTTCTTTTGAATGATAGGTATGCCTGTGAAGCTTAGAACATGTGTGCATTGCAATACGACGTTTACAAGTGCTGTTAGCCTGTCCAACCACTTACGCGCTTATGCACGAAAGAAGAGTGCTGGACTTTTGACTGGTACAGGTATGTTTGAACAGATAACACAGCAAGTCTGCTTGATTCAGTACAGTTTTTTTCTCACCAGACTGGTGCTAATTCAGATGATATTTATAGCTTTCTTTGATAAGCACAGTTTAGTCTGAAGATAAATTAAATTTCAGCAACTTGTAAACTGTTAGATAACATTTTAAGCAAGTTACTCTTTTCCATTTGGCTCCTACTGACTTGACTTGGGAAAAAAATAAATAACCCAATAGAAGTGTGGGACTTTTGAGTCTACGTAATTCCCATTGATTTTTAAATCACACTATTTTTTGATTTTTAAATTTATTTTTGTGAGTAGATTCCAGTCAGGCAACCTCTCTTTGGTAAAAAGGATTGTAGTTCTAGCCTAACAAAATGCTTTTTCAGGAAAGAAAATTATCATGAAATTTCATATATGTAGCTTAAAACTTAGCAAAACTAAGGAGTTTTCATTAGTCTGTAGATCACATCTTTAAAGGGACAGGCCTTAAAAATGGCCCATGTTGACAACTGAATAGATTTTTCTTTTACTACTCCTAAACTATGTTTAAGATTAATAAATACAGCCTATCACATAAATGTTAACATGCACATTTCTGTGTTATTTTTGGTTGGTTAGCCAGCCTTGCAGATACTCTTCATATCGCTACCCTGTTAAAAATTGTATTAGCTTACTCACATGTAATACTGCTTCTTACCCTACAAAACGCCTTGCTCTTTTCATTTGTAGCCTTTCAAGCTACCCTGCTTTAGCAAATCCCATTTCTCTCATGTCTTAAAATATACCCTCTTTTCTAAATATATCGACATAAATCCTTTTGCCTAAAACCTTACTTCCAGTCTTTAATTTCTCTTGCTCTTTTAGATCACTGCCTTCTGCTTTCTTCTAGTTGTTGTTTTCCCAACTTTTTTGTTCTTCCTCATGTCTTCCCTTGGCTTACATCTAATATATTCTTGCTACCAAAGAAACACTTGTGTTCATACTAATGTCTTTCTTCTGCTTCTTTGCCTTATCCTTTGACTTGATATACAAATGACCAGGGATGACTGTTGACTGTATTAAAAGAAGAACAGAGTGAGCTTTACATATCTGGATTAGTAAACTCCTACTGTGAGATTTTCATTTTTATAATATTACTCCTACCTTCATCAGGCTTGAAAAGTGATTGCAGACATTAGAAGCAGCGAGGTGGTGAAAATAAAACCCTGTAGAAACAGAACTTCATCATTGTTGTTACCATAGTCACTGACTTTCGTTGTACACTTAACTACGTGTCAGGCTTTGTGCTGTGCAGCCTGTTTGCGTGACATTTAACCTTCACTCCATCATACGAGTTGTAGATATAAGAATTCTCTCAATTTTACAGAACACCAGGTCTTAGAGAACTTAAGGAAGCTACCCATACTTACGTAGTTATTAATAGCAGAGTTGAAAAATCAAGGATGTCCTGTCCTAGACTTTTGTTTTTAATCAGGATTGTCTGCCACATACAGAACAAAAGCAAATGCAAATCCAATAATGAAGTAAGGTTTAAAGTGGGGAGCATTCTGGTGAAGACTGAATAAATTAGAGTCTTACAAAGAGCAAGGACCCAAGAAACAGGCCTGGATTCGATTTTAGAGGACTTTAAAAAATATTTCAGTTTGACAATTCAGACTGATATTTGCAGATATTCAGTGAGGCGCATCTCTCCAGTACAGATTTTGTTGGCCATTAAAAAATGCTTTTATTTCATCTGAAAATCTTTTAAAACATAGGCTTGTTTATAAATAACTGATCATAACCCTCACTGACCAGGGGTGCATTCCAATGAACACTTAATTATCTAAACAATTTCATTATTAAAGAAAAAGTTGATATAGGATGAATGGGGATACATTTCTTTGGTCACCAAGAAAAAAAGAAAACATTACTTTTTAAATATCATTAAATATTAACCAAAATGTCAGAAGTGTTAGAAAATATAAGGTGTGTGTTTGGCGGTCCTAAAGCTAAGAGAAGGGAAATGAAAAGCTGAAGAAAGTCTAGGGTGGTATTTCCACAGCCCATACCCACTTTTAAGAAAAATAAGCTCATGCACCTTTTTTTTTTTAGAAATTCTGAAACTTTCCCCTGATTTTTGAAAGGTCCTTGACCAGTAGAACTACAAAGAAGATGTCTTTACTGCTTGCTCATGCCAACCAAGAAATTTTTTTTTAATCAGCTTTCTTATTTTTTGTTTTCCAAATGGAACATTCTGTATTATATTTATAAAGTCCACCTGCCTGCACTCTTCCCCCATATCAGTTTCAGTGGTTTGAGTCAGTGGTCCCAACCTATAGTTTCTGGAGGGTTCCACCAGATTATTATAAGGAATTCATCAGTTCATATGAATAACAAGCATTATTTCCCGAAACTACATAGATGTTGTTTTGATGGAAAAAGTACAAAATCATTTCAGAAAATTCTTACCTTAATCCAAGTATATCACAAAACTGAAACAATGTAAAAGGAAAATAGGTAGGACTAAGCCTCCATAAAAACATCTGTTACCCTTGTTCTTAATTCACGTAGTGTTCATTCATGTGGATTTTGTTTATGTGACCTACTCTTGAAGAAAAACCGTAGGTATCCCACAGTAAATGATAAAGGCCTGCTTAGTTACCTGTGTTAGAATAAACCTCAAAACCTCCTTAGAAGACACCAGCTCCTGGCCTCTTCTGTGGGAATTAGTGGTCTTTTGAGGGAAAGAAATATTCTAGCTAACCTGAATAGACCAAAAAGAATGCTCCTCTGCTTCCCCAAATAGCTGTCTTATGAAAGCTGTGGGCCCCATCCCAGAAACATGCACTTAATTCATCCACAGATAAAAAATTTTCTATATTTGTTTCTATCGATAGGTATATCCCTTGAAAGTTATCTGTGGACCCTTCCTCCAGCAGAAAGCTGAGAAAGGGGAGATGACAAAATATAAATGAAGCAGATCTTAGAATCAGAAAACCTAAGCCCAAAGAGTTAGAAAATGCTTAACATGCCAGAACTATGTAACTGTGTATTACATGGTCACAAATATAAATTAAAATATAATATGCTTCCTAACTTTAGTGGAAGTAAATGATAAATAATAAAGTAGGATAGCTTGGAAATAAAGACCTAGAAGGGTAGCCTCACTTGAGACAGAGTTAAATTGCCAAAAAAGAATAAACTTCACAGATTAAAATTTTGCCCAGAACTAACCCAGTTTGTCAACCATTGGGCAGGATCGAATAATTGTTTAATAATTTCCATTTGCCTTCCATTGTAGATAATCATTTATGAAACTTTTTTTTACCTTTTTTAAAATCATTTTTTGTCTAAAGAGACTAGTGCCAAAAGGTTTGCTTTATATTCTGTATTGTAAATTCAAGGCATACTTATTTTTGAAGGCATACTTAATTTATTACAGTTAACATAGACTGCCTTATTGGTGGACTTCTTATTCTCTTTAGATTAACTTTTTATGTGGTCATACAGACTTTTTCCTGGTTAGTTCTTTACACAGTCTAATAAGAGCATTACATAATTTTCATTAAAAATCAGAAATTTCATGTAGTTCATATTCAATGCCTTTGGACTTTTAATTTTACAATGGACTTTTTTGTGTTTAATGATATTTAAATTAGATGATGCCCTTTTTATACTGGCAGTATTAAAAACACAGTGTCACTAAGGTGTTAATAGAATGCCTGAACATGCTGGGGTAGCCCTTATGTAGTAGCCGAGTACTAGAAAAATGCCTCTTTCATATATGTCCTGGGTTGGACGATAAATTATATGGTACCTTCATTATTAAAACTTCTAAAATATTTTAAATTATTTAAGGCAGAGTACATTCTATCAACTTAATTTGCAGTTAGGAAGCAAAACAAAATATTTTGATATCAAAGTAAGTGAATTCCAATAGGTGAAGAAAGGGGAAATAATTAAAGTCTGAGTAGGTTGTTGTGAAAGGAAATGTATCAGTTAAATGAAAGCATGTTTGCACAATGCTTCCCTGTGGTGCAGAGCCATGTTATCTCTTGAAAAGCAGAAGGAATAACAGTGGTGTTCAGCATTTTTATTGGAACTCCATTTTACATCTTGACCCTGTATACAAATGCACATTAATACACATACTCACTTGGTCACTCATTACTTACCTGAAGTGATTGTGATGCTCTCTAAGAATTTCTGTTATTCTTTTTCATTAAAAATAATGCTGGTCATGACCCAGTAAATTGATTTACTACCTACTAAGAAATTACTACCCACAGATTGAAAACACTCCTCTTAAGTGACTCTTTTGCTTAGAAACTGGTATTGACCAGAATCAACAATAGTAACATGTTAGAAATCATAATACCACTGTAGCAGCATGTAAAATTGTTTTAGTCATTGTATGCAGATATTTATCTGTAGACCCTATTTTTTAAATAAAATGCTGACCTGTAATATTTAAAGGAAATTAGAGATTTCTGGTTACTTAAAAATAATGCAAGAAAAACATTTTATATGCAAATGTATTTGGGGAGGGGGTTTCTTTTCATTATCTACAGAACACTTCCATGACAGTATTTCAGAAGTAAAGGAGGATTATTGCTATTCTCTACCAACAAACTCCCCACCATCATAATTAATGAATAATTTTTCCAATGAGAAAAAGAGAACTTAAAAAAATTGGTACTGGAGTCTTTTCAGTCAATACTACCAGTGCAATCTATCCACATTTTTTTTTAGTGAAGTCAGTGTTTTATTTTTCATACCACCCACTTTTAAATAGAATAGTAGATTGCATGTTACTTAATAGGATCTTTTGCCCATTTTCAGCTTTAATGATCTAATTGGCCACAGAGGCCTGCAACAACAAGTGCTAATGAATGTGTAACACAGTGCCAGGTGCTGAGCGGGTGGATAAGCCACCAGAAAAGTAATTCTTATATTGTGGAATGTGCTATAGAACACTTTCCTCCTGTGGTGGAAAGAAAAAAATAGTATTGTGAAA